TTGATCGTTGATTTTGAAGGCTATTACTCAACTTAAGTACAATTTTGAATGGAAATTGTACTCATTACGAAAGAGAATACGTTATTGCTGAACATACGTGCCGGGGCCCTTTCACTGATATCATAAGGGCTTCAGTTTATTGGAATGCGTAATTTCCCTTACGTCAATTCATAATAGAGTCATAAAAGCACTGAAATATGTACTTCACCAATGAAATGGATCACGAGAATAGGGCGCCCTTAAGCCTTCGCCCTTTATCGTCTCAAATAATGCAGATATCCAATGATCACTTCCCAAAATGCGCCAGACTTGATTCGGGTGCAAGGTTCGTTCTTCGTTCCAGGAATTTGATTCCACGGGGATCGCCACAATTGCCAGGTGGAGTTTTTGGGATGTTTGCTGTCCAGTAGCCGAATGTGAGAAGGGAGCATCTTACCTTTTGCGGCAAATGAATCAAGCTGAGAATAGGATAGGAATGTGGCACTTTTCAAAGGAACTAGGAGGAAATCACATTGCGAGAGCTCCAAAATACCAAATTCTATCCAAATGGCCGTGCTTTTGATTAAGGTCAGAAATATACTTTCGGAAGATTAAAAATGAAGCTCTGGGGTACGTCAGCGGACGGGAATGAGAATGGCTCAATAGCTTAAATGGGAGAACGCACACACACCCAGTCATACGAGTGAGGCCAGAACATAATAGGTAGAATGGCTGGCTTTTATTCCAGTCGTAAACATCGAAATAAGTCAGGCTTTATGGAACCGGCCTGGGAGTGCCCTTGTGAATCGCAAAAGATTAACTGGCCATATTTCCTATATAAAACCCAATTATCTAGAGTAATTATCCGTAAAACCAGGTCTATTTGAAAATTGCTTTTGGAAATTGTTAAAGACTCCAATAAATCAGACAGGCTGACTGAGACAGTGCTTAAGAGTGTCCCATACCTCTCACAGGTTTCGGGAGACACCGCCCCAATGCATCTGATCAGGATTCGTTTGAGGATTCTGGAACGAATGTGGTCATTTGATCAAAGACTTGAATGGGAGCAATGCCTACATCTGAAGGCTGCAATATTTTGTGTCAGCGATCAATAATTGGGAGGACTTTGTTCAATCTGGGAGTAGGTCTTATGGGATACTTACTGGGGCCAAAACACCAAAACACAAGCCTAAAGCTTTAGGAAACCAGTGAGCGGGAAAGGAATCAAAGTATATCGGATGAAGTCTTTGGCATTAATCAATCTGTTTTTTTTTTGAGTTCGGCCCCGCATTTCACCTCTATTCAGAATTGATGTAGCGTTCATAGTGAATTGTGGTTGGTGAATGTACAAGACGGTGCTGTAACCTCCCAGGCGAGACTGATGCCATTCAATCGACCCTGGAGGGATGGAGGCTTGGCAAGTTTGGCGAGTCCCGTGTTGGGACTCGAAACACGGAGCATACTGGGTTAAGTGGCCACTTGCCACTACACCACCTCCGCCTGACCGGAAAATTAGAGAGGAAACGATGCTTCAGAAACGAAGTCAAAGGGCAGAATTTGTTAAGATACTCATATCTTCCATGGCGAGTTAAATTCATCAAACTGAACGTTTGATTCTCGTGTGAGAACTCAATTCAAAGATTTAGGAAAGTACACGGCTTATCCCAAAGGGAGCGCCTAGTGCTAGTTGCTCCGAACCACCTTTTGCTAAGGTTAGCATTACTAATAAGGCTTGTATCATGCTTTGTGGGATTCATGCATGAAAGCGGCTAAAGATTGCTGTGCTCGTTCAGTAGCTCCGAGAGAGGTCAATCTGCACGGCTTATTCCAAAGAGACCCATCTCAACTCTCCACCGTATAGGCCGCAAGAATCGCTCAAGAAAAAGTCGAGAAGCAGTGCCTGGCAGTTGGTGGTCTCAATACAACAGCTTTTGTTTTTACGGATCAATCAAAGTGACGGGAAGACGGAAACATTCGCAGGATGAATGACAGAAATCAGCTGACATTATGGGTGGTGAGGTCCCGCGAGGAATAAACACAACAGATAAGAGACAGCTGAGACATAGAAAAGTCGAGAACTTGATACAATGGTGTATTGGAGGGAAAAAGATATTATGGTGGCATATGAAGGCCATGACTTCAAAGGAGGAAATTCTAGGGAGCATTTGGGAAAAATTGATCGTCCTGGTAGTACTCGAAGCTAATCAGATTCAGTAAAGCTTGCTGTTTCGACAATGGAGAGGGAACTGGTCAACTCCCCCGGCGTCATGCTCGATTCCCAAGTAATCCAAAGAGAAGACTAGGAAGATTGATGAGGAATTCAGGAGAATGACTAACGTTCCGTTGGAAAATCTATCGTCAACGGAGTCGCCGTTTAGCGATGGTCTAATTGGCCATGTTATCCAGCATTGCCGCTCCTCACCCATGCCATCTTCGCCTGTTCCTCCTACCCGCCCACACACGCGCACACTAACATGGCTCAAATAGAAAACAATACTGATGGGTCCATCAACTCCCTGGGGAATATCGCCCCAACCAAATTGCTTCCTTATTCATTAGTCGTGAAAAGGTCTTTCTAATTGGAAAACGTATGGAGGGCCAATTCCCAGTTGCAGGTCCGACTAAACCTCGAAAAAGTAATTGCAGTCAAAAGGAAAGTATAGGCCTTTCAGCTTGCGTCAACCTTTTTTAGGTCTTTTTGGGCGACTTTCATTCATAATCGTGTTGGCAATGAAATACGGAGTTATTTTTAACCCACAGGGGAACCGACTTTTCCCAGTTCCATGCAGCTCTGGTCCAAATGGGATGACCAGTCAACTTGGGTTCGGATTGTTTTTTGAATCCAATTCCCAGGCAGGCAATGAATATATGGTAACGGAGCCCCTTTCACCATGTCTTCAGGCTGCCTTTCCTCAGAATTTTCGGACTCTTCGAGTCGTTCAGAATATCCCCGGGCTTTCATGGATATTACCCGGCTTATGTGAATGGGGAAATGACGGGATCGTTATGAAATCTAGAGGTTTTATCGGGTGTTTTGCTGGTTCGGCAGAACCACGCCATTTTTCGAAACCAATCTGGGACGTGAGGTTTCATTTTTAGGAAATCCTTAAAGGTCCAAGCACAAATTGAGCTGATGTTGAAGAAAAAAAATCAATTTCCCGGAACTAATCAATCCCATTTTTGGGATATGCTTCGCATTCAACTTCCGCTCAAATTCGTAGTGGGGTGTTCGATACGCCCATGCAATGACGGGAAACGGCCGAGATACAAGTCCTAGCTTTTGTCTACCTAAAGGTCAAGCGAATTCTTGAGATACAAATAAAAATAGATAAAATA